TCCACAGTGTTATATTCTTAATTACCATCCTTCCCAGCTCATCATTTGGATAAATAGCATCACCATTATCCCATGCCCCAAGCAGCATTGGTCCTTAATCACTCTTATTTCTTTTAATCCCTACTCCACTTAGCAGAGCGGTATTTACACTATAGTTTGAGGATGTGGATTCAATTTGACAACCAAAGAAAATGCTGGTGGATATGAGTGATGCTCAGAAGAACTGGTAAATTGTTTAGGAAATGTGAGTGGCTTGCTTCACAGGGTCGAAAGCTATCATTTGTCTTAGTCTCGGACTTATCCCTTTCTCTTTCCTTCCCTGAACTAGTGCTCATTTCCCCAATTAAAATAAACTACTAGTAATTGAATTCCATGTACATGCTCTGTTCCTGTTCCCATTTGTCATGGTAGTGGTGATAGCAACAGTTTAGTAATATATATTCCTCCTCGGAAGAAAAGAAATGATAGTAATTTTCAATTTGTTGTTATGAGTATTAAATGTTCATAGTGTTCAGTACAACCCTTTGCACCCAGTAAATACTAGTTGCTCTTATTTTGTCATTGTTGTTAATAATATATTCACATATCCTTCTATGATGATACTTGGGCTTGTACCATTTAAGCTCCAAAAAATACCATCTTTATTCTTTAGTAAATTCTTTCCATAACTTTATAAGATAAAATTCACATTATTCACCTGGGAGTTAAAATTCAATAGTTGTAAAATCCTAAACATGTTATTTTACAGAGCCTCTGTTTCCTTATTTGAAATAGGGATAACATTATGTTCCAGGTTAATATAAGGTTAAAATTACTAATATATTATCAACAGTGCCTGGGGGATTGCAAAGAATTGTCTCCATTTTAGCTGTCTTCATTTGTGCTGTAAGCTTTGTCTTAGGCTGATGCAATCAAGAGAAAAAAAGCTCCAAAGAATCTTTGGCCACCACCCCAAGACCTTGGTTCCACTAGGCAATGAGCCATACATCATTTTTTGATGGCTACAAGATATCAGCTCAGTTCAACCAGTTACAAATTCCCTGAGGCATAAGACCTTCTAATTATAGAATCCATTTACGAAAGCATTTTGCACAGAATGATGCAAAAAGAATGATTCATTCTCCTCAGGTGTAAGTGATGTACTGCGTGCTTCCTGCCAGCTGTGAGTACCCAGCTGCCTTTTGAAGCATCCCCAAAAAAGCTGCTGTGTCCAGCATGTGTCAAACCCCAGGAAATGCTGACCCATTTTAGGGCCCTCTTCGAAGCATAACAAATTCAAACTAAGACCTCTTCCTCCCTCTGTGTCTGCTGAGGTTATTTCAGATATCCTCCCCCCCATCATATGTCTCCACAGCTCTTGGTCGTTGCCTCGACTACAAGTCACTCCACCCATCTATTATTCTCATTCGCTTGTGTTCATGCTACTGTTGATTTATTTTTCTCCTCTAATCTCACCACCTCTTGCTATTCCTCTACATCCAGAACCTTTCTACCAGATGGTTCATGTTCTTATTTGCCCCAAACCCCTTCCTCCACAACTTCTGGTAATAGATTCACCCTACCCATAGGAAAAAGCATGTGACCAAAGTGGGCCACAAAAGCTGACCCGGAAAAGATCGAGCAACCGAGCCAGCCTAGTCTAAGTCTTTCCTTGGTATTGTTCTGATAGACCTTCAAGTGACTATATTCTCTGCCATGTAAATAACATCTATTTATTATACAATAGGGGGAAATGACACCAAACTGAAACAAAGAAAGCAACAAGAGGGATAAAGAAATAAGAGTCCTACTTTTCCTGTAAGTGGCTTAAGGCGACCTCTGAAAATGGTTTGCTATTCACTTGACCCAGAAAAACCCACACACATGCAAATCAAGAGGTTCAAATATTCACGTTCACTTTACAAACACCCATGAAGCTACCCAGGCCATCAAGGGTATGCGTATCCAAAAAACCACCGATTATCTAAAGGATGTCACTTTACAGAAGCATCGTGTGCCCATCTGTCATTACAGCGGTGGAGATGGTAGGTGTGCCCAGGCCAAACAGTGGGGCTGGATGCGGGGTCAGTGGCCCAAAAAAGAGTGCTGAATTTTTTCTGCCCATGCTTAAAAATGCAGAGAATCATGCTGGATGTAAGGGTGTAGACGTAGACTCTCTGGTCGTTGAGCACATCCAGGTAAACAAAGCTCTCAAGATGCCGCGTAGAACCTGCACAGAGCTCATGGGCCAGTTACCCATACCCGAGCTCTCCCTGCCACATGGAGATCCTTGCTACAAAAAGAACAGACTGTTCCCAAACCAAAAGAGTGGTTACCAGAGCCCAACAGAGAGCTAACGGAAACTGCAACCTTCTCTGGAAGAAGCTAAGCATGCAGGGTAGGAGCTTGCAGTGCTTGAGCGAGCACATCAGTGGTACAAAGGCTCACCATTTCTGCCCAGGATTCTGGAGCCCTGCCCCTCCCCTGGGCCGGTCAAAACTTTGCTACTCAGTCTGAAGCTCTTCCTGCCCAGTCCTCCTTCCTTCCTTTCATGGATGTCAGGCCTGTGCTAAAACCTAAAGTCTTTCCCTGCTGACTCCTCTGCCCTTTATATTTGACAAATGTTATTGTCCATAAATCTCTTATGATGCTAAGTCTATTTTGGCATCTGTTTCCTGCGAAACCCAATTAGACAACCGCACATCCTCTGTCTCACCAAATACAAATGACCACCTCAGGTGCTAGCGCTGCCAGGGTATGGTAGGTTTATGCGGCTCGAAGACCAGTGGGGGCATTTTCTCACAGAAGAGTGGGAAATAATTAAATTTTAAGATACGAAAAAGTCAGTTTCAGCTTAAGAACTCAACTTCAATGGAATAATTGACTTCCAAATGACCTAGAACCCTTCCATTGCACCCTTCACCAAGCAAGTCTTGAAAGCACCATCACATCAGTGATTGTCTATTATCTGTCTTTCATTCCAGGCACATGAGTTTCAAGAACAAAAACTCTTTCCTTTGGGGATAATAAAATTGTTCTAAAGTTAGATTATTGTGATGGCTGCACAACTTTGAAATACACTAAAAACCATCAAATTGTGCACCTGTGTGATATAAATTATGTCTCAAAGCTATTAAAACGTATAATTGAATTATAAGAGATAGTCAGTAGTCGGTGAAGCCTTCAAAGAAGTCACACATGAATGAGATTTAGAGGAATGATAGGAGAGTCCTGGGGGGAAGAGGAGAGAACATTCTGGACAGAAGCCGTAGACACATAGCCAGGGGAGAGGGCATGCTATAGAGCGTACAGTGTGAAGTCAGTAAGGCTGGTACTAGGAGATTGGGGCCTATGCAGGCAGGGTTTGAGCCTGTATGAGTAAGCAGGGGCCAACTCATCATGGGCTAGTCATGGGGGAAACCACCAAAATCTTTGAGCTTATTTGAAGCATCATTCTAATGTAAAAACTGGAAGGCCATTTGGAAGTGAGTGAAACCAGTAATTATTTGACCAAAAAGGAGGAACTCTCATCCCATCTAATAAAAGAGTAATATGCAAATTCACCGTCACTCCAACATACAAAATGGCTGCCCCCATGTGGTCAAAGATGGCTGACCCCATGTGGACACAAGAGGCCACCACAAGATGGCAAGCAGGGGAGGATGGATCAGGCCAGCAGGGGAGAGCAGTTGTGGGCAATCAGGCCAGCAGGGGAGGACAGTTGGGAGGGAACCATGCCTACAAGGGAGGGTAATTGGGGGTGGTCAAGCCTGCAGGGGAGGGCAGTTAGAGGCCACCAGGCCAGCAGAGGAGGGAAGTTAGGGGCAAACAGGCTGGCAGGGGAGAGAAGCTAGGCATTATGCTGGCAAGGGAGTGGTTAGAGGATGATCAGGTTGGCAGGCAGAAGCGGTTAGGGGCAATGAGGAAGGCAGGCAGGTGAGCAGTTGGGATCCAGCAGTCCTGGATTGTGAGAGGAATGTCCCAGATTGGAGAAGGTGCAGGCTGGGCTGAGGGACAACACACACACACACACACACACACACACACGAATTTTGTGCACTAGGCCTCTAGTAGCTAATACTTATAGAGCCCTAACCCTCTACTGAGCACTTTCCTTGAATCATCTATTCAGTTGCTAAAGTAGGTACTTACAGTAATATTTTTATAGATGATATTCAGGTGGCTTGCTCCCTCGCCTCCTTGAGGTCTTCAGGCAAATGCAACTTCCCAAAACTGTCCCTATTCCCTTGCTTTATTTTTCTCTGGGACTCCCATCTCGGTTTAACATGTTCTACTTTTTAAAATCTTATTTGAAGATTCCCCACCGCTGGACTGAAAGCCCAACAGAACAGGTTAATTTGTAATTTTCATTCAGTTCTGTACCCCCAGTGCCTACCTACCCAATAAATATTCTTTGAATAAATGAATACTCAAAATGAATGAGTCAATCGAGACTCACAGAGTTTAAGTAACTTGTTCGTGATCACACAGATGATAAGTGGCAGAATTCTGATTCAAAACCCTTGAATTCTTTGGCCAGCCAATGTGGCTCAGTGTTTGAGGGCCAACCTATGAACCAGAAGGAGGTCCCCGTCAGGGCTCATGCCCCGGTTATAGCGGTGATTCCATCATCATCATCATCATCATCATCATCATCATCATCATCATCTCTCTCTGAAATAAATAAATAAATTGATTAAAAATTATTTTTTTTAAAGAAGTGATACTCAGCAAGGAAGCAGGCACTGACACCCAGTCCAAGATAGCCAGGAGGGTGGGAAAGCATGCTTGTGGCCTTGCACGCTACCACACGTGGCGGTCAGCGACCAGGCTGGGTGGGTATTTAACCTGTTTAACTCAGTTGCTTGGCTCCGGCTTCTGCCCTCGCCGGCCGGCACTGTCGGCCTCCGGTCGCCAGGCGGCGCTGTGGGCTGCCAGGGCGACCGCGGCACCAGCGAGCGCCGCCTCCCCCTCCCTGCTGCGCATGCTCGTCCCGCCGTGGGCTCGCTTTTTTTTTTTTTTTTTTTTTCCGGGCGGCCCCGGCGGCTGCGTACTGGCTGTGGGATGGGAAGTGAAGCCCCAGCGAGCGGCGGCGGCGGCGGGGCGGTGAGGCGCAGCCAGGGGGAGGCGGCGGCGGCGGCGGCTGGCTGGTGAGCGGCGGGCGGACCGGAGCCGGCGGAGCACCTGCAGCGCGGGCGGCGGCGGCGGCCTCACCATGGCGATTCGCAGGAAGAGCACCAAGAGCCCCCCGATCCTGAGCCACGAATTCGTGCTGCAGAATCACGCGGACATCGTCTCCTGTGTGGCGATGGTCTTCCTGCTGGGGCTCATGTTCGAGGTGAGCCCGCCCCGCGCCCCGGGCGCCTGGGGTCGGGGGTGTGGGATGGGGGTGGGGTGAGGCGGCGGACCCCCGAGGTGCGGGCCTGGGGCCGCGGGGCCGGGCCGGGGGCCGCCGCTCGCCCCCCGCCGGGGCCGCGCTGCCCTCCCTCCCTTCTCCCTCCCCCCCGGCCGCCGCCCCCTCCGGCGCCGCGCAGTTCCTGGTTCCCGCGGAGGGTTACGTGGCAGCCGGCGAGGGGCCGCGGCGGCGGGGGCGGCCCGGCTGCCGGGCTGGCCGCGGGGGGCGGGGGCGGGGGCGGGCATGGCCGGCCCGGCGGCGGGCGCGTCCCGGGGTGACGTGGAGGCCTGGCCGGGGGGCGGGGGGCGGGGGGCGGCCGGGGACCTCGGGGGCGGATTGGGGGGGAAGGGGGGTCCCCGCAGCCCCGAGTTTGGGGGTGAATGAGAACAGACGGAGCCTGGCTGCCGGGATGGCCTAGGGGGGCGGGGGCGGGGATGGGCGGCCTGGCGGCGGGCGCGTCTCGGGCGAGGGCTGGGGTGACGTGGAGGCCTGGCCGGGGGCCGGGGGGCGGGGGGCGGCCGGGGACCTCGGGGGCGGGTTGGGGGGGGGGGCCCGCAGCCCCGAGTGTGGGGGTGAATGAGAACACACGGAGCCGGCGGGCCGGGCACCCCGATGGTCTCCGCTCTCCGCTCCCAGGCTGGTGGTGTGCCCAGCCGGTCCCCCCAACTGTCTGCCTTTTCCGTAAAGAAGCCAGAGCGGCGAGGCGCTGGGCAGCCGTGCCCAGGAGCCGGGCGGTGGTCCCCGGTATTGTTCCTGGAAGCGGGGGCGGCCCGTTCGCAGCTGTTGAATGCGGTGATGCTCTGGGCGAGAGGGCATCCTCCTCCGGTGTGCGTGCCCTCGCTCCCCAGTGTGCATGCCCAGTCCTTACACCTTTCCCTTTTTTCTTTTCTTTTTTTCTCGAGAGCCCCTACGCCCTGTCCAATGTGCTCGGTGTGCGTATTTGCCGCCTTTCCCCCTCCCGGGAGGTCTGGGCAGACCTGCCTGTGATTCTAGTGTTTCCAGCGCCCAGATCCGTGCCTGGGGGTAGGACTGCTTCCCTGGGTGGTGGTGAATGAGGGACGATTGAATTCTTGGGAGGAAAAAAAAAAACAAAAACAAAAAAACTAGCGGAATGAGACTGCCAGTGACCACAGGATGAGTAAATATTTTAAGTGGAGCCCCTCTGGGCTTTTGAAGGTTGCTATCAGGGAGCTTCATACGTATTTTATTGTATTTTTGCTTTCTTCAAATGGGCTCTTCTAAGTCTAAATGTAGGGTTTTTTTTTAATTCCTGGTAATGTCCTTTATTTCCACGTGGTCTGTTGTGAAGGAGGGGGTAGGTGCGGAGGAAGGAGAGGTAGAAGGGAATTAGCACGTGGGAACTCACTTCATTTGAGGCTGGGCCTGTGCTGCTCACCTCCTCCTGCCTGACGGCTCAGCCACCTGTGCCGTTCTCACCGCCGGGATGCTAGGGCGGCCCGGTGATATGATGTGAAGGCACCATGTGAGAACTGTGTGGATGTGTGATATTACTAAAAGGGCAGTGCTAGCTGAAGCCTGTTTGGCTCAGTGGATAGAGCGTCAGCCTGCGGACTGAAGGGTCCCGGGTTCGATTCCGGTCAAGGGCATGTGCCTTGGTTGCGGGCACATCCCCGGTGGGGGGTGTGCAAGAGGCAGCTGATCGATGATTTTCTCTCTTATCGATGTTTCTGACTCTCTGTCCTTCTCTCTTCCTATCTGTAAAAAAATCAATAAAATATATTTTTAAAAATAAATAAATAAAAGGGCATTGCTAAACATTTGTACTCCCTTTCTGTTTGTACTTTCTGCTTTGTTATTAGAAGTAATAACTTTTGGCCGAAACCGGTTTGGCTCAGTAGTAGAGCGTTGGTCTGCGGACTGAAAGGTCCCAGGTTCGATTCCGGTCAAGGGCATGTACATTGGTTGTGGGCACATCCCCAGTAGGGGGTGTGCAAGAGGCAGCTGGTCGATGTTTCTCTCTCATCGACGTTTCTAGCTCTCTATCCCTCTCTCCTCCTCTCTGTAAAAAAATCAATAAAAATATATTTAAAAAAAAAGAAATAATACTTCGTATAAGTTTGTCATAATCTATCTCCATATGGTAAGAATTCCTGACTTTAAAGATAGAATTTGGGAGTAGTGTTTCAGTGCTTTGAATTAAAAGGAATATAAATCAGGAATACTGACCCTTAGACAAGGCTAACTTTGCTTTTATGTAAGATATATTTCACATTGTCTTATCACCATTCTAGGGAAATGCACCATCTGTACCTTGTCTCATGTGTTAATGATTTTTTTTAACAGAGTGGATTTTTGCCTTTATGTAAATATGTAAAATTTGAAAAGCTAAATAGATATAACAATGATCTAATAAGTTTTTAGGGTCAGTTCAAGAGAACATTGAAGTAGTATACAGGAAAGGGAAGTTTGCAAGTTGTACATTTTTCTTACCATATGTTAAAGTTTTAGGACTGGAAAGCATGTTATCTACATACAGGGGAAAATTGGCCAGGTGAGTTTTGCTATTTTAAAATAATTGCTTATAGCCCTGGCCTCAGTGGGCATTGTCCCATCATCCATCAAGGTTTTGGGATCCATCCCTAATTAGGGTACATGCACACATTCAAAGAGAAACCAATGAATAATAAATACATAAGTAAAAGTAACTGCAGTTAAATCTCAAAGTAAATAAAGTAACTGCAGATAAATCTCAAAGTTAACATAATTATAGAATGATAATAATTGTGCTAGAATAATAGAAAAGTCAATGTTTTTGCAGTAAAGCTAAGCCTTTTGTGTGACTATATTGAGGACATGTCAACATTTATGGTGAAGTTGACAAAGCAATAATAGATGCTATATTACTAGCCAAAATGAAGAATCGATATAGAAATATCATGAAGCATAGATGCTAGAGCTTAAGGGTTCCATGTTCAAGTTAGAGCTTTACAGCTTGCAAACTGGATAATCTATGTCATTTAACTTCTCAGTTATTTCCTTCTCTGTAAAATGGGGCTCATTGACAAACTCAGAGAATAAAATTAGTATGTATAATGCCTCTCTACTTCAGTGGCATACAACAGATATGCCATAGTGGTAGCTGTATTATTCTTTAGATATTTTTCAAAGTGGGAAAATACAGGACAGCATTTTTATGTGAGAGAAGGGTCCAACCATTAATATTTAAAGAGATTATACAAGGTGGGGCAAAAGTAGGTTTACAGTTGTTCATATGGAAAAATAACTCAATAATAAACTGTGTTTTATGTCTTACAACTGCAAACCAACTTTTGCCCCACCCTGTGTATACTGAAAAGATTGATGAAGTAGTAGTATGTTGGGGGAAATGTAAGACTTTAATTTCCAGGAAACTTGGCGATATCAAAAATTGCTTATGAAATTTGAAATCATGATTTTAGTATAGTCAGCATCTGTTCACATAATGCAAATTATGGTCTATAATTAGTGGCTTCGAATTTGAGTTAGGAAAGTTTGAACAGTCGAAAAATGTAAGGATACTTGGGAAGCTTTCTGAAAGTGAAGCTGGAGAGGAGTTGTGGGTTTCCAAGAGGAATATTTGCTTCTGGAAGGGCGTTCCTTCCCAGGTATTTAGGAGCCTATGTTGTGTGGGCTGTGCAGGTTTAGGAGACATTTACAATCACAACCACCTTGGAATAGTTTTTGGAGGTTTGTTCTTAAGCATGACTTGTCTTAATACCAACATTTTCTTCCCTTTCTCTTTTTCTTTTTTTCTTTTTTTTTTAACAAAATTTTATATACACGTGGGAAAGTGGAATTTGGTATTCAGAAATTGTCCTTTTATCTTTCAGGCACCTGGTCAATGTAATAGTCACACCAACCTCTAACAAGTACAAAATACTAACCCCTGTGAATAACAAAAAGAAAAAAAATACTAAGCTCCATTGGCAGTCTTGATATTGCATCCAACATGGAATTAAACAATTCATTAGAGTTTGTGGTAACCTATTTAAGATGTATCTGAATAAGTCATTTTTTCCCTTATAAATGGAAAATGGTGCTGTAAATGTCCAAAACTGCCATAAATGCAGTAATTTTACTTTTTAATGCATTATATATTTCTGTAGTATGTTTTATTCCAGGCTAATTTGTCTTACTATTAATTAATTGTTAAATTAGTTTAAAGAATTGCTGGCTGTAGTGTATGGCTAAGGGGGCTTAGAAATGGTTCAGAATGTGATGACAGTAATTTTCTAGAAACTTTTTGGGGGAATGTAGTTTGTATTTTTTCTCTTACTCTACTTTTTTTTAAAATATATATTTAAAGTAGAGTAAAAAAAATATATATATATATATATATTTTTTTTTTTTTTTTTTTTTTTAGAGAGGAAGGGAGAGGAAGAGAGAGAAACATCAATGATGAGAGAGAATTATTGATTGGCTCCCACTAGGGATCAAGCCCTCAACCCAGGCATGTGCCCTGACCAGGAGTAAACTGTACCTCCTAGTTCATAGGTTGACACTCAACCATTGAGCCACACTGGCCAGGCTTCTTCTTCTACTACCTAATGTCACATGATAAACTAGCTGAAGGCCAGACTTTAATTTTATTTGGAAGCCTAGCATAAAAGTATAATCTAATTTGTTTTTGCTTTTGGTATTTGATATTCAATTAATCTTTGAAGAAGTTCACTTATCATTTGTATGGGGCTCTTAAAAAGTTGTCTTGTTGCCCTAGTTGGTTTTGGCTCAGTGGATAGGGCGTGGGCTTGCAGACTCAAGGGTCCCAGGTTCGATTCTGGTCAAGAGCATATACCTTCGTTGGGGGCACATCTCCAGTGGGGGGTGTGCAGAAGGCAGTTGATTGATGTTTCTATCTCATCGATGTTTCTATCTTCTCTCCCTTCCTCTCTGTAAAAAATCAATTTAAAAAAAAAAGTTTTCTTGTCTATGTAGCCGTGACTTCATATGCTGAACTAGAAACGGGGGTGTGAGTGTGTGTTATGTGTGTATATGTTTATATATATGAAATCTAAACAAAGATATTAAAAATGAAGTTTAGTAATCAATTAACTTTATTAAAAAGAATTACATGAAAGCCGTGTTACCCAGGAAATTCATACCATCATTCTGCTCTAATGCATCCATGTGAATGATTCAAATTATAACAAGCCTTACTGGCTTTTTTTATTCAAGTGACCTTTCTATATCTACCGGAGTTCAGTGACTCACTTTCGTGTCATAATCCTGGGCTTCATCACACAGACCTGCTTATTTCCAGATCCTGAATTCTGGGGTAGCAGAGGCTCATCCATAACTTACCTGTTCCCCTCCTCCATCCTACTTCTCATTTGCCTGCTCCCCAGCCAGTCCGAGCTTCCTTGGCCCCTTGGCCCACTCTCCCTCTCTCCAGAATGTTAGCCCCCTCATCGCTGTGCTATCTCTGCATACTGGAACTACTTATCCACAGTCTCCCTCAGCTTTGTTTCCCTCTTGGTCTTCCTCCCCATTCATCCCGGCCTGCCATCTGCCTTTCCTGTGCCTCCCCATTGTGGGTTGCTAAAAATTGCCAGAGGAAGGCATACACTCAGTGTTGCCCCCACACAAGCTCAGTCTCTCCCCTCATAAGAACAACATAAATCCTGACCTGGCATCTGTCACTAGGTACCACGTTGTTCCTCAGGCTGCTGCCATTGGCTTTCGCTCTCATTACTTTGTTGAAACAATTCAAGCCGTGACCACGACTTCTCAGATTGTCCGTTCCATTGCACTCTTTCCCCGCCACATGTTCTTGGAAACTTTGACTTTATTAGCCACGCCTTTTTGAAATGTTTCCCCCCTTGGCTTTTGGGGCATCAAGCTCTCTTCATTCTCTTTCTGCATCTCTGACCATTTCTTATTTTGCGATCAGCTTTTTCTGTGCCCACGCCATAGTCTGATGTCTTATTTGTCTACGAATACTGTACCCTGCCCATAGATGATTTATGTGCTTTCAACAACTTCAGTTACTACCTGTAAATAGAGATGCCCAAGTCGCTAAGCTAGCGTCTCCCAGGCTTAGGCTTAACTACCTACAGAAATCTAAGTGTATCTAGGACTCAGTTTCTTCTTTTTTCCTCAAACCTGCTGTTCCTTCTGTATTCCACATTTTTATTAATAACATTACTTTTCACTAAGGCTATAAGCACCAAAACATAGTCATTGACTCTTGCTTACCAAGCCTTATTCTGCCTCGAAAGTCCCACTTCTATCCCACTACCACTGCCTTAGTTAGGGCCTTATTATCTTTCATGTGATCTCTTGCAGAAGTTTTATACTTGGCTTTCATACTTACTTCAGATTATATTTTATCTAGTAATTATATATATATATATATATATATATATATATATATATATGCCTAAGTGACCGACCATCCGACCGATAGCTATGAGATGCACCGACCACTAGGGGGCAGACGCTCAATGCAGGAGCTACTGAGCTGCAGTGACTTGGCAGCTGTGGTTCTTAGGTGATGCACCCAGAACCAGAGAGGAGGGAGCTTGATTCTGGGGTGTGTCACCCAAGAACTGCCCTCTCACAATCCAAGACCCCTTGGAGGGGGAGGGGAGAGCGTGTCGGAGAGCTAGTTTCGGCCTGATCCCTGCAGGCCAGGCTGAGGGACCCCATTAGTGCACGGATGCACTGGGCCTTAGTTCATCACCTAATATGTGCCAGGCCTCATGCTAGTCTCTAGCATATGGTGATGAGCAGAAACAGGCATGGTCCCAGCTCTTACAGGGCTTACTTTCTAATGAGTGAGACAGAAACTGTTAATGTAATCACACCAAGAGTATGTGTTTTGAAAGGAAGGCAGTTCTCTGAGATAATCTAACAAAGGAAATGACCTGCTCTAAGGGACCGGACAGGCTTACTTGAAAAGGTGTGAAGGCTGAAGGTTACCTAGCAGTGTTAGGTGGGACTGCTCAGACCCTGGGATAGAGGAATGCACAGGCGAGAGAACAGGAGGAAATGGTCAGAGATGAGGCTGGATGGAGCTGAGGGGAGGGGTCAGACTATGGATTGTTGTTTGGGGCACATTGGAGATTTTGTTCTTCATCTGAGAAAGAACAGGAATCTAGCAAAGGATTTTTGGGTGGAGGATGCACCTGGGGAGATGTGTTAACGTGATCAGAAGATGATTCTGGCTGTAGTGTGGACTTGGGTCTGAGGAGACTTAGTAAGCCATAGCCAGCTACTAAAAAGCACGTATGAACTTCCCTCTCCTCAAAATTCTCCAGTGTAAAATAAAATCTAAACTTACTTAGATCAAGAAACAAGGTCCTAATCGTACACCTATGAATCAGAAGGTGGGATGGGAACCGGCTGGAGGGGAGCTATGGGGTAAAAAAATTGTAATAATCTGAACAATTAAGATTTATTAATTTATTTTTTTTAAAAGAAAGAAACAAGGTCCATTCTAGCACTGACAGTTTGTCTGCCACTTCTGATGTGTACCCATGCCAGGCCTGTGTTGATTGCTATTTGACTTTTGCACTTTGTTTCTGCTGCTTACACTGCCCTCTTCACCCCCCTCGTCAACTTATTTTTCAATGAGACAACTCTCTCACCACATCCTCTCAGAAGACTTTCCTGAACATGCCTCATTCCCCACCCAAGAAAAAAACAAAAACAAAAACAGTTTATCCTGAATACCCATTGGCATTGATTCTATCTACACTAATAAAAGAGAAAGATGCAAATTGGCCGTACCTCTGTGATGCCCACTAGCCAATCAGGAAGGGATATGCAAATTAGGAGGGCAAATATGGAGGTGGCCCCGCCTCCTAGCCACTCCAGGTGCGGAGCAGCTTGGCAGGGCAGGACGCCTGCTATGTGAGGGAGAATGGGGGGGTGGCGAAGGAATCTACAGGAGCGGCACTCTGGCCTCAGTGAAGACAAAGACGGAAGACTCTGGCCAGAGCGAAGGTGGAAGGCAGTGGCCAAAGTGAAGACCTGGGTCCAGGGTGCCAGAGGAAAACCAGTGATGGAAGCCAGGGGAAGGAAGGCCTATTTGCATGAATCTCTGTGCAACAGGACTCTAGTAGTAGTATATTATAATAACTTTGTCTTCCTGGCCCAACTAAACTCGTAATCATCAAGGATTGTATCATTCATTCACCTTTGTTCTGTTTTCTTGTCTGGTACCTATAAATATTCAGGAAACATTCAATATTTCTCTTCTGCCCACTTTACTTTTACCAGTAGTAGGGTCAGTTAAATGTTTATTGACCACTTAGCTATGCCGGGTGTGTGGGAGATGAACACACATAAACTACAGACCCTTTGATCCTTTTTTTTGTCATGGCTACTTTGTACCCATTTCTTTTAATTTACATTAACTTTTTTTTTTTTTTCTCATTGGGACCTGTGTGTTCATTAGTCTAGAGTAGAGAAACTATATTTCAAATCACCATTTAGTGGAAATGCAGAGAGTATTTCTTTTGAAATCTTTAAGGTAGGAGTGAGTTATACAATCTCATGTGAACTGCAGAATGCTCTTATGTGAACTCCCATCCCCAGTTCCTTGGTGATCAGGAATTTCATTTGTGCCTGTCAGGGTGCCGCAGGAACTAGGTGCCCTTGGTTCTTAGACTTGGGGACAGAAGCTGTGATATTTTCCCTCTGATCAACCATTGGTAGGTCACAAATTAACTTGAATTTTTTTTTCCTTCTAGATATCAGCAAAAGCTTCTATCATTTTTGTTACTCTTCAGTACAATGTTACCCTCCCTGTAACAGGTAAGTAGTTTTCTTTTAGAATTATCTACTTAAGTGGAAAGGTTCACTTGGACAAACTGTGAAATTTCCACGAGCACTAGGTTCTTCATTACTTTTTCACAAATCTCATTCACGATTAGACTGAATATTTTGATATTTTTGTAATGTAAGATCTGATGTTTTTGGTTGACTTCACCCTATGTATTATATGGAAATCAGTTTTTATGTGTTTAGTGTTTGTTGTACATTTTTGTAATGAGCTCAAAATTCTGTCAAAGAACTTTTTTTTTTTTTTCCTTCTCTTCCCTTTAACATAGGTATTTTACATTTGTTTAAAGTATCATTGTTCAACCAAGGTTTCTGAAGGCATAATGTTTAGGTTCGGTTTTTCCAACCAATGAGTTATGATTTAGACCTACAATATAATAACAACCCTTTTAAGCCTATTTTATTTTCAGTTTTTTTGTCTTGCTTTACCTGTGACATTATTTCAATTAAGATGTCAGTAAACGCTAGGGGTAATTTGGTAATAGCACCAAATTATACTTTTAGTTTCATTTCAAAAAGGTTTTCTAAACTATGCTTTGTGAAAATCAAGTTGTTACAGGAAGTTGATTGTATTGAATACAGTAATAAAATTAACTAGCACAGGGTAGGAATGAGGTATTCAGTTCATGAAATATTAACATATTCAGGCAGTAAACTTGCCCTGGATTTCTCTAAAAAAAAAAAAAAAGATGAATTATGTATTATTGAGTTGGATTTTCTCCATTATATATAGTTTTGTAAATATTTGATTTAGTGATTTAGATAACTGAGAACCATAAAGTTGTTTTGAAATTTGAATATGCCAGAGAAAAATGAAGCCCTTAACCAACTCCTTTAAGCTTTGTTCTAAACAATTACAGCAATTTCAAGGAATAAAAATAATTTTAAGAAGCAGTTGCCTTTATCTCTACAATGATCAAAATTAAATCAAATACAGATTAAATCTCTTTCCTCAGAATCATAATGAGATGTCTCGTTCGAAAGTAGAGGTAGAAAGTAGAAAGTTTCCAAAGTCCTTTAAAAATACAGGCAAGTGGGCTAAGTGTAACACCGTGGATAATGTCTTTTATAATTACATTAAATTGTGGCCACCCCCTCCTGTTTTTTGGTTTTTGATGGCTGTGACTAACATAACATGTGTCAAGTCTTTGTTAAGTAATTTCTGGAGTTTTCAATTCCTAGATAGTCTCCTCAATTTTCATTGTTGCCATGACTCAAGATGTCCAAAAGCAAATTACCATGATGTTTCTGTAATACTTATTTATTAGGTTAGTCATCTTTGTTTGTTTCCATAACTATGTTGTACCTAGTGCTGTTTTTATAATCTCATGTATATTTTTGTGTATGTGTGTCCTGTCCTTTTTGGCCTTCAGAAGAACAAGCTACTGAAACAGCATCTTTTTATTACTATGGTATCAAAGATTTGGCTACAATTTTCTTCTACATGCTAGTGGCGATAATTGTTCATGCCATAATTCAAGAGTATGTGTTGGATGTAAGTATACAATCTTAGAAATCTATACTTTGTAAAATACTAGCTCTCCATACTATGATTGTCATATTAAATATATTTTATAATTTTAATTATTGATTGTTTTTATTTTTAGAAAATAAACAGGCGTATGCACTTCTCCAAAACGAAACACAGCAAGTTTAATGAATCTGGTCAGCTTAGTGCATTCTACCTATTTTCTTGTATTTGGGGCATATTCATTCTAGTTTCTGTAAGTATATACTACGCTTAAATTTTCCTTTCTTAAAATATTTACATTATATACCCAGAACAGAAAATAAAATCCTATTCTATTTTTTAATGTAAGCAAACCCTGGACCTTAGAAAATCCCTCTTCTTTTGCTATATAAGATTCTTTTGCTATTTTAATATATAAGATTAGGTATTCTACTAGTGAACTAATATAAAGCAAGTTTCATGGATAAGTCTCCCTTAGTTTTTATACAGTAAAAATTCTAAACTATATTTAATGCTTGAGAAAGCCTTATTTGTAGTCACTTGAATGTTATTTTATATCTTGCAGTCATTTTCAGGCATCTCTGTATTAGCAAAAAGGGTAATATGTCAGTGATACCTGTGCTTGGTTACATGAGTTGTAATGTTTCTAGCCATTTCCCCCTTTAAAAACAGTTCAGACATTTCCCAAGCAACTTAAAATGTTGGTTAACTTTGCAGTTAAGGCAATCTAAACCTTTAAATGTGTCATTCTAACTAATGAGGGGGAAGGCAGTATCAACCTTAGTATTAGTACTCCAGAGTTAACATACTTTTTACTTTGTCAGGACACATAATTTTTTAAACTACCACGTTAGAGGTGAATAAATAGGCTAAGTGAATTTTATCTTAAATATTTGTTTTAAAAACTAAACTGTTATATTTCATTGGGAAAATATTCTTATTAAAGATGGGTCACTTTAGGCTTTTCTTTCCTTATGCAAGAACTCTCACTGAGTAGATACAGTTATCTAAGAAAAAGATTTGGTGGCTATCTGGGCATAATCTGTAAAATTTGATCTTCCATCTCCTGGCTACCTCTGATTACCCAAGATATAATCCATCTCTCCTGCAGCTATTGTACCTCTGTTATGGAGCATTTCTAGTATTTTTTGCTTTGTTGATTTTGTTTGCATACTTGTATTTTTTACTCTACTGGACTGAAAGAATTTAGAAGGCCAGGAATTATGTCTTATTTGACTTCGAACATCCATTGATTTTCACTTCACTAAAGTAAGCAATTCAGCTGAGTTGACAATAACTAAAACAACAGAAGAGTTTGACCTTGGGGGCTCTTTGGAACTTGACCTGGGGAGTTGTAAATGTGCAAGAAATGAAAATACTGTCTGATTTTCCAAGAAGTTTGCATTGTACTAATAGACTAATTTTTATATCTTCTTTTTTAGGAAAACTACATCTCAGACCCAACTATCTTATGGAGGTCTTATCCCCCTAACCTAATGACGTAAGTTATTTCTGGCAGGCTTTTCATAGTTAAGGACCATGGTCATGTCACTTTTAAGCAGAATTCATTCTTAATCTCCTTAAAATTTTAGGCAAATGCATACAAAAGTATATCTTTGGCAGGCCTGCTGCCATAGGAAAAAAATTTCTGTGTGCTTTTTTCATGAATGTAATCTTTCCAGTATGTTTGTTAGCTTGAGAATTCTGATTATAACAATCTCTAATTTATTAGTCTTGTCCCTTTCTTCTCCCCCATCCTTTCTCCTCCTTCCTGCTCCTCCTTCTCCTTAGGTTTGCTCTTTTTCTTTGCCTCGGACTCTTCACTCTTTCACTCTTTTATTCTCTTATACTGTAAGCTTGAGGGTGGGAATTGTTTCTTTCTAGCTCCCAAGGTTTCTATATGCTGTTGTAATAAGCTTATTAGCTACAAAAGCATTCAACGATATTCTTCTTCAAGCTGAGCTCTAGTACAACTATTCCAGATTTTTCTCGTACTTAGCCTGTAATATTTTTTGCTTTTCTGAATTTGTCATGTGATGTATAAAATTTTATGTAGTAACCACATATTGTTGTGTCATTTATGTAAGTCTTATATTGTGCCCATGCCCACCAAGACTATGTGCCTTGACAGCAGTAGAAACTCTGTTTAATCTTATCCTCTGTTATGCCTGGCTGTAGGTGCTTACCACTTAGACCACGGCTCAAGAGCCGCAGTTTGCAGGCCAACCAAATGCGGCTCCAGAGCTGAGGTTTGCCACTCTGTTGACTAATGAACTTGCCGGCCACTGACGTAGACATTGGAGAAAAGATATGAAGGGAGTGCTGTGGCCATGCTTGTCTTAATATTTTGAAGGCCAGTAATAATGTCCACTCTGCTGAACCATTGTAACTTTTTAAAGTTATATCGATTCAATGAACTTTTATAGAATGGGTTATAAACATCATATTTATGTGGGACTGTATTTCTTCCCTTCCTCCTCCCTGGAAATTATTTCACATTGGCTTTGAGGTTTCTATTTTAGACTCTGGAGGAGGAGGAGAAGGGAGAATAAAGAGAGAGCGGAAGGACTGGAGGCCATTTAAAGAGACCAGTGATTCCAGACTGATTAGGATATATCTCTTGGGAAAACTTTTTGCCTTTTTACTCTCTTTAACCCTGGTTGGCCTCCATTTATTTGGGGCTCTCAATGTTCCATCCAGATAGAGTTACCATATTTCACTAAGAAAAAAGCCAGGGGATATTTACAATTGGGATTATTCCAGTTTCAGGTAATTTTTAATCTCTTTCCTTTGCTTTTATGTCAGTCTTTTTTTTTTTTTTTTTTTTTTTTTTTTTTTTCCAAATATATTTTATTGATTTTTTACAGAGAGGAAGGGAGAGAGATAGAGAGCTAGAAACATCGATGAGAGAGAAACATCGACCAGCTGCCTCTTGCACATCCCCCACCGGGGATGTGCCTGCAACCAATATACATGCCCCTGACCGGAATCGAACCCGGGACCTTTCAGTCCACAGACCGATGCTCTACCCCTGAGCCAAACCGGTTTTGGCTTATGTCAGTCTTGTACCCTCCCGCTTCCCTTTTAATTTTATTCATTTCAGAGAGGAAGGAAGAGGGAGGGAGAAATAGAAACATCAATGATGAGAGAGAATCATTGATTGGCTGCCTCCTGCATGCCTCCTACTGGGGTTCGAGCCCACAACTCAGGCAAGCGTGTCCTAACTAGGAATCTGAGCCATGACCTCCTGGTTCATAGGTCGCTGCTCAACCACTGAGCCATGCTGGCCCGGCTCCCACTTCCCTTTTGATGAAACTTTCTAGATCTGTGGTTTGAGTCCCTCAGTCATGATCCGTATGTGTTTAGTAACTAACATGACACACAAATCAGTATTAATTATCGAATAGACTCAGAGCTCCGGTTCCTTCCAGCTAGCTTGCATGTTTACAGGGTTCTTCAGCTGATGTGTTTGCTTCTGCTGCTTAATCCAGAGGAATTGACTGGTGGTGAGAATATCCCAGGGAGACAGGGGGAGTGGCTGAGGGAGAGTTGTTGAAAGGTGCACAGAGTATTAATTGTAAGGGCACCTGAAGTGATAGTGAAAACATAACTACTTAGTATATTCTCAGTTCCAGTGTTCATTTTTAACTTTACTCTTTAAAAATACCAGGCTTTAAAATGTATTTTTTACTTCCTTGTGTTACACAGATTTCAGGTGAAGTTTTTCTACATATCACAGTTGGCTTACTGGTTTCATACTTTTCCTGAGCTCTACTTCCAGAAAACCAAAAAAGTAAGCTGGGATTTTGTGTTTTGAAAATTATCTGTCATTTTTTTTCCTTTCGTGTCATTAACCTCCCTCTTACCTCAAGTCTTCCCCCATTCTCCCAGCTCCAGTCTTTCCACAAAGAGTAGGTATCCTTAAGTATTTATTGCTGGGCAGGGCGGGGGTGTTAGTTTTCACTTAGAGAGGGATCTTTTGCATTAGACATGCTAATTGCTAGTTTTAAAATTGTTACTAGTAATGTAAAATAAAATAAATTTTTTTGAAATGTAATATTAATTTCATATTATTGATACTAGGACTAATCACACTTACCACAACTAACGGTTCTGGGTGTAATTCCCAAAGGAGAGTTCAGGATTGAAACAAGTAAACCACAGTTAACTATTCACCAGCGAGGCTTTTCCCGACCTGGGTGGAGCATTCCCGTTTTAGCATGTGGGAGAGGTGTTTGTTTTATCTGGACAAACAGCGCCTGGGCACTGCGGTTTTCTTTTTTCTAGCTTTACCCTCAGTACTTCTGAAGTCAGACTTTGTGATCTTACAGAGCAACTTGATTTATTTTATTGAATGCTTTCTCCTCTGAAATCCATGCTAGCTCCCTGTTACTTTAAACTAAAATAGAGCCACTGACCTGTGCTCTAAGGGCCTCTCCTCTGGACTCCCCCCACTGGTCACCTTTTCTCTGCTCTCTCCTGTGCTTCATTCCCATTGGTCTCTGATTTTATAACCCCAGCACATCAGTTATTTTTCCTGGAATACCCTTTTCCTATGATAAATTAATGAAGCACTTTTTACCCTTTGGGGGAAGAGATTCTTTTAAAATTCCCATATATGAAATTGAACATGGATGAAGGTAAGGATGAAGCAATTTTGCTCATGAGTTAACTATTGAAGCTGGGCTGTGGTTAAGTGCGGATTCATTTTACCCCCTATTTGTTTTATATGTACATATACATATGCTTTTCAAATTTAAAACATTTTTTAATTGTCTTTAAGAAGCTTTCCCAAATAGAAATGTAACAATCCTTCCAATGACCAGTTTATCTCTGCCTTCTCAATCACCATAGTCACTTCTTTCTATATGTGCTACAAATAGTTCTTGAGTAGAGTGTCTTGATTTACAACTGTTTTGTGTTTGTGGGTTGTTTGTGTGTGTGAGTCTTCTATGTGTTTGTCATATTGCTGTGTCTGCTACGATGAAAAAACACCACATTAGAGTCTTACGTTGACTTATAAAGTAGAATGTTCTCTAGTTAAGTTGATTGCAAGGATTAGGATGATGATCCATAAAATCTTTGATCTCAAATTGTCTGAAGATAAAATTTGTAGGGCTAGTTTCCAGTAGCCCTTCCATATTCAGTAAGCTCTCAGTGTGAACCATGGATATCCTATAGCTACACTGTCCAAACAGTAGCTGCTGGTCCCATTTAAATTAATCACAATGTAAGAAAAACAGATTTCACTCTCTTGGTCTCACGAGGCCTATCTCAGGTTCCCGTTAGCTGCAGGTGGCCACACTGCCACTTTGGATAGCAGAGGTGGAGAGCGTTTCCATCCTTGCAGAAAGTGCTTTATGACAGCCCGGCCGGAAATAGCCTAGTTTGAGGTCTTAGTACCAGGGCTCAAATATTGAAGGCTTTCTTCATATACTTTTATTCCCCTGGACATAATACAGACATAATACTTCTGGGTTTTACTATTAATCCATATTTTATAGTTTGTTCATTGGTCATGTAAGTAAAGAGGCATCTTTCAAAGTAATTGTTTCATTTTAGTTCTTATCAGTTCCTGCCAGATGGCATTTTTCCAGAAATGCAATCTTAATCTTTATGGAATAATTTGCATAACTTAGAACTAAACCGAAACTATTTTTAACACCTATATATTACAGTCAAAAGTAACTGTTTCAAGTAATTAACATAATTTGAAAGAAACAGCTGTATATGTTAAACAGTTTCTTAAAACTTACTCAAAATTATTTTTGGAAGAAATCTTTACTGGAAGAAACTAGCCTGGTGATAGTTTTGGAACGATCCTACAGAGAAGTGAAGAAAGAACGGAACGCTGTTGGTAACAGTTCCGGAGGTGTGTTAGTCATGAATAACTCAGTTTGTCTTAAGGAGAATATTTTAATTACATATAATATATGTGCTTCAATATAAACGACAATCCTCCATTTTGCCTATGAGGAGATTCAAAATATAATTTCCTTTTTTAAAATATATTTTTATTTATTTCAGACAGGAAGAGAGAGGGAGGTAGAAACATGAATGAGAGAGAATCATTGATTGGCTGCTTCCTGCACGCCCCGTACCGGAGATTGAGCCTGAACCCTGGGGAATGTGCCCTGGCCAGGAATCCAACTGTGACCTCCCGCTTCATAGGTTGATGTTCAAACACTGAGCCACACCAGCCAGGCCAAAATGTAATTTCTTAGCTAAATTGAATATATGAAGTTTCAGGGAAGTGTGGCTGAAATAACCAAATGTTTTATTTATAATATTTAGTTTATCTAATTTAATTATACATACATATAATTGTGTATAATAGAAAGTATATTAAATTAGAATAATTCTTTTTTCCCCATTCCTACTTCATGAAAATTATATTCACACTTTTCAAATGCAAACTTGTTAATATGTCATTCATCATTAGAGCCACTTTTTTAATCATCTAGTTCAGTGTTTCAAACTATATTATCTTCTGTCTTACTGATTCTTCCATTCAACCTCTATAAGCATTTAGAAATTATATTGACTAAAGTTTTGTGTGTGTTTTTAAATGTCTTTATTGGTTTCAGAGAGGAGGGAAGAGGAAGAGAGAGATAGAAACATCAATGATGAAAGAAAATCATTGATTGGCTACTACCTGTATGCCCCACACTGGGGATCAAGCCCACAACCAAGGCATGTGCCCTTGACCAGAATTGAACCTGGGGACCTTTTTTTTTTTTTTTTAATCAATCTTTATTGTTCATATTGTCACAAAGGTTCCTCATTTCTTCCCCCCTCCACCAGGCTCCCACCCCACCTTCAGCCCCCTCCCCATCCCCCATTGTCCTCGTTTATAGGTGCAGTCTATGTTCAGTCTTCTCCTCCCTCCCCCTCCCCGACAGCAAATCCCCTTTCAGACAGCAAATCAGTTACTTAGCATCCTCTCATATCAACAATACCACCACATGCCCAATGATACATTTCACACAAAAGACACTTCCAAATAGGTCAACCAGCCTCATCCAGGCCCCACTCAAGGCACTCACAGATCAACACCCCAACCCTATACCAACTCAACACATCCAGATCCAAGCCTTCATCACTTGATTCAGCAGACCCTCAAGTTCCCACAAAAGTTTCCAGCCATGTCTGAGAGGCAGCCATGGGGCAGGGGCAGGCGAAGAGCAAGCTGTTCCGGGCCTGGCTGCTCCGGGCCCGGCCCCCGTTGCTCCGGTTCGCTCCACAACCAGCTGCTCCGGGTCTGGTCACCGCCGCTCCCGACCTAGTTGCTCTGGACCTGGCTGCTGCTGCTCCGGGCCTGGCCGCACCTGACCCGGCTGCTCTGGGCCCGGCTGCTCCAGGCCTGGCCGCTCCCAGCCTGGCAACCGCTACTTTGGGCCTGGCCACACCAGACCCGGCTGCTCCGGGGCTGGCCGCTCTGAACCAGGGGACTCTTCAGTCCGCAGGCCGACATTCTGTCCACTGAGCCAAACTGGCTAAGATTTTTAAGGCTATTATCAGTATAGATTACTATACGTGAGAGCTTTGGAAAGACTTAAATATGAGCTGGCTCTATCTGTGGTTTAAGGAGAGAGCTTTGCCTTATATTTGGGCATATATGTAATGCTCAGTTTAAAGTAAAGTTTGTTTTATAGTAAGGTATAGTTAAGAAAAGCAATTTTTTAGAAAAATAGAAATTCACTAAAGTATATGGCTGATCTTTTTAATAAAAACAAAAATTGTCACTTGAAGTTATTTATAATTTTAGAATTTGGTTTGATTTAATTTGGTTCTGTATTTATTAGATTTTCCTTGAAAACTTAGAATCAGAATTTTAAGTCATTTTATTATTTCATTCTTATGTAAACTACATGACCATTAGCATTAAGAATATATAAACAATTCTGAGACCGGTTTGGATCAGTGGATAGAGCGTCGGCCTGCGGACTGAAAGGTACTGGGTTCGATTCCAGTAAAGGGCATGTACCTTGGTTGCAGGCACATCCCCAGTAGAGGGTGTGCAAGAGGCAGCTGATCGATGTCTCATCGATGTTTCTAACTCTCTATCTCTCTCTCTTCTTCTCTGTAAAAAATCAATAAAATATATCTTTAAAATAAAAAAGAATAAACAATTCATAAAGCTTTTCTAACTCATTTTCATTATATATTTTTCCATTCAAGTATAAAACAGTTTAATTTTTTTTTTTTTTTTTTAATCTTCACCCAAGGATGTGTTTGTTGATTTTAGAGAGGAACATGAATTAGTTACTTTGTTGTACTCGTCCCAATCTGGAATCGAACCCATAACCTGACCTGGGATCGAACCCACAACCTTTTTGGTGTACAGGACAATACTCTAATCACCTGAGCCATTCAACTAGGGCATAAATGTTTGTTAATCTCTCAATAGATAAATAAGTAAAACCTCATTTCTAATTCATGATAGGAAAAGTTTATTTACATAGCAAAATCATATATATCTTATCATGTATCAAGCATGTATATAGCATATCATATTACATTTATAACACTATAACTGAGCTGTTCTGAAGTGATTATGACAGAAGAAAGAGGCTTTCCTCTCTCCTTTGGTAAGGAGAATTAATATCAGAAGTTTGAAAGTTATTTGGAAAGGACCTTAAGACTGCTTATTCTTAAAGATACTTCTCTCTCCAGTTGTACAAACCACTGTAAACTGGCATTGTGTCTGGGAATTTCCCCTGGAAGTCCCCAAACATAGTTATGTTTATAGGACCATTAGGCTGTCTTATGTTCCACCTTTATCACTTGATCTTTGTACCATTCTTACTAGAGGAGAGTTTTCAAGTTCAAAACTACACTTATAAAATCTCTACTCTTTCTCAAAAGACTCAATGAAGTAACTCTACTGAAATGACTAATATAGCCATATATATATATACACACAAACACACACAGGTTTTCCCCGCTGTCCAAAAATAGAGTCCTCCATTTCTTTCATAAAAAGAAATGCGGTAAAGCAAAGAAGCAATTACCTTGCTAATGGTGCACAAAGTAACTCACGATAAAGCACAGATGCTCTCAGACACAGTTGAAAGCCATGGTGGCTCTGTGCTGAGATGCTGCATGTAGTTCCTGGGGAAGGAGCTTGGGGGTTACCTGCTCCTCTCTAAGGCTCACTGCCAGACATGCTCAATGCTCTTCTCTTGTTGCCATTTTTATACCATCCTGTTGGGATTTCTTTCAGTTATAAAAGCAGGTGCTAATGTAAGGCTTCCACAAACTTGAAGTGGTGTAAGTGAGCTTTGGAAATGCTGAGGGATACCTGTATAGGGAAAGCTGCCAAAATCAGGAGAGTAGAAATGCAAGGTACAGGCATTTAATAAATTAAGTATTTATTGGACCCATCACTGTATTTTGCAAACATTTCTTACTGCGACCCAAAATGAAAACTAGATTTTATGTCATGATTCTGTATGTGTGTGTGTATATATGTTTGTGTGTGTGTGCAATCTGGAATAAATTTTTCATGAAACAATACAGTGTGCTTACTCTACACTCTAGCATTTTCTATTCTATTTCTTTTTAAATTCTTATAGGTGTGTTTTTTTTTAATCTGTTCTTTTTTTAAATATTTTTTATTGATTTCAGAGAAGGAGAGAGAGATAGAAACAACAATGATGAGAAAGAATCATTGACCAGCTGCCTCCTGCACATCCCCCTCTGGGGATCTAGCCTGCAACCCAGGCATGTGCTCTTGACCAGAATCGAACCCAGGACCTTTCAGTCCGCAGGCTGGTGTTCTATCCACTGAGCCAAACCAGCTAGGGCTCTGTTTCATATTTTAAAAGAGATTAGTGTGACTCCCTAAATTAATTTTATGATCCACTAGTATGTCTTACATTTTTATTTATTTACATTTTTATTGATTTCAGAGAGGAAGGGAAAGGAAGAGAGATGGAAACATCAATGATGAGAGAATCATTGATCGGTTACCTCCTGCATGCCCCCTCTCAAACCAAGCATGCAACCTGGGCATGTGTCCTTGACTGGAATTGAACCTGGGACCCTTCAGTCTGCAGGCTGGTGCTCTATCCACTGAGCCAGACCTGCTAGAGCTAGACTTAGATTTTTAAAAAACACTTTCTAAAGTAACTAGGCTTCTAGGGTCTATGGGAGAATAAAAGAAGCAGAACTAAAATGTGGACACATGGCTTAGAGGGTTATTAAGAAAAGAAGGAAGAATAAAAAATTAGATGGTATCATAGTGAGAAGATAAAATTATAACCTTTGGTTTTAGTGACTATACCTGATAGTGAAAGGAATTAAAAGCATGATCTTAAAATGTAAATACTGCCAAAACCAATTTGGCTCAGTGGATAGAGCATTGGCCTGCGGACTGAAGGGTCCGGGGTTCGATTCCGGTCAAGGGCATGTACTGTGGTTGTGGGCACATCCCCAATGGGGAGTGTGCAGGAGGCAGCTGATCGATGTTTCTCTCTCATCAATGTTTCTAACTCTCTATCCCTCTCTCTTCCTGTCTGTAAAAAATCAATAAAATATATATATTTTTTAAATGTAAATACTGTTTTAGGTAAAACAAAAGCCTCTCTACCTCTAACCATAGCAGTGTTAAAATTAGAAGGACATTATCATGGGTATTAATAGTGTGTCATCCAATAAATGTTTATAATCAAAAGAACTATAGATCTTAGCATGCAAGGGATTTTGAGTTCATCTGATTCAGGCAAACCCAAGTATTAGTCACACATTGCAGATGAGGTAGCGGAAGCCAGACAAAAATGCAATGACTTGCTAAAGCCATGCTGCTGATGGGGATGAGCAGTTGGGGTCGGGGGCAGTGGCAGAATACCCCTCGAGGTATTCTGTTCACCCCGCCACAGCGCTCCTACGGAACAGGAATGTGTCGGCACAGTTCACCTACAATGCAGTTTTCTGTTCACAGGAGGATATTCCTCGGCAGCTTGTCTACATAGGTCTTTACCTCTTTCACATCGCTGGCGCTTATCTTCTGAAGTAAGTTAGGATTTTTCTTGGGTGTGTGTATGGACTGTGCAGATAGTGTGCTAACCTGTCTTAGCTGATAAGTAACCTTTACATTTCAAATTTGTTCTTGTAACAGCTTGAATCGTCTAGGACTTGTTCTTTTGGTGCCACATTATTTTGTTGAGTTTCTTTTCCACATTTCCCGCCTGTTTTATTTCACTGATGAAAAGTATCAGAAAGGGTAAGTTGGTCAGCCATTCTATTTCTGCTGTAATTAAAGCCAGTTGCTAAGGCCCACACTGTGGGCAGTCATATTACTTTATATGTAAGTAACAGCTTTAAGTAAAATGAAACTAATAGCAACTCGGGTGGGTATTTTCTCTAAATGGAGTCTTTTTTTAAGCTAGAAAAGATATTATGTGGGAACTTGTAATCCTGAAAGCTTTTTGAGTTCACTTTTCTAAGTTCTCCAATCTTGCTTAATGCATGTTTTTCTTTTGGACAAGGGATTATAGGAAAGTGAACTTTCAGAAGAAAATGAAATAACACATTATATACATTATATAACCTTAAAACTATTAAAATATTTTGATGGGAGAATTGAACTGAAAACAGAATTGAAGCAGTATTGTAAAGATTATAAAGTCTTTAAAGAAAAGTAGAACTAGGACTCTTAAATGAGAATTGGGGTCTTACTTACAGCACAGCTTTTGTTGTGTTTTCTCCAGCGGTTTTCAAAATTTCTGTATATACCAGGAGTTGTGAAGGTCATTCTATGGAGTAAAAAGAGGATTTTAGCCAAACAAAAAATAAAACGTTTCTTTACTGGACCTCCTAGAACCTTAAATATGCTAATGTGTTACCTCTGAGGGTGTGATACAGTGCAGCATCTTCCAAACATTTTACTTGCAGAACTATTTTTGCAGGAAAATTACAAATATTTTAATATGCATTTACTTAATAGAATCTGATTCCTAATAGAATATTTTCTTATTGCTGCAGTTTTATGAATTTGACTTGTGACCTTTTTCTTCCAGCTTCTCTCTGTGGGCAGTTCTGTTTGTTTTGGGAAGACTTCTGACTTTAATTCTTTCAGTGCTAACTGTTGGCTTTGGCCTTGCAAGAGCAGAGAACCAGAAGCTGGATTTCAGTACTGGAAACTTCAATGTGTTGGGCGTAAGGTACAGTCCATTTAACATCTTTCTCACTTTGTACACCTGTATAGTATGTATTATCAGTTTATGCCATGACATACCTAAAAAATGTGGAGGTTAGGGAAAATACTCATTTCATACCTGTTTTATATGTCTAAATTTAAATCCCAAAACATTCATTTAACTTCTGGGATGAATTATTAATGAAATAATTATTTCGGAATTCAGCAATAAATTAATACTATGAAAACAAGATAGACCATTTTTTAAAGTAGCATTGTTTTGATGGACTCTGATATTTTGTTGTTGTTGTTTTTTTTCATATTCTCAGAATTGCTGTTCTGGCATCAATTTGCATTACCCAAGCATTCATGATGTGGAAGTTCATTAATTTTCAGCTCCGCAGGTGGAGAGAACATTCTACTTTTCAGACACCAACCGTGAAGAAGAAGCCAACAGTGACAAAGGGCAGATCTAGAAAAGGAACAGGTTTGTGTTCAGTAAGCAATGAAAAACCTGGAGTAGAAAACACACACAAAAAAAAATGTTTTGGCGCTTTGTTACTAAGTTTTAAAATCCTGTAGAGAAAATTGCATTCTACTTTTAAGCAAAATTAGAGGCAAGGTAATCTTGCCCCATTCTACAGTTTGGTGGTTTCCTAGGGTCAGTTATTTCCCTCAAAAGCTGTCTACTCAGTTTCTCTCTCTTCCAAGCTTTCCCCACTTGATTATTTTGAACCAGGAAAGGCCAATGTATATGGGCAGTTTCAGTGATAGTTTGTGCTTTCAAGCATCTTACTCATATTTAAAAAACAAAACCTCTTTACAGCTCTTTCCTATCTGCCCTTGCATTCCAAGTGGATTAGTTTCTGTCTTATTTAATAACATCTGATTGCTTGATCCTGTCCTGGACATTTCACATAAATTGAATCATACAATATGTGATCTTTTGCAGCTGTTTCCTTTCAGTTAGTATGTTTTAAGGTTCACTCAACGTTTTAGCATGTACTGCTACTCATTCCTTTTATGGCCAAACTAGTCACCCAGTGCACGAAATTTGTGCACATTAAAAGGAGATAAATTAGAGGAAATAATTTAATATTGCTGTTGCCCTTTCTCTATGATAGAAGTGTCAGAGATTAGAGAAAATTAGTAAAATGTATACGAAAACCTTCCTGTCAGAGTTGGGCTCACCATGGGACCCAGAGTCAAGTCCCCGCCCACCCATATGCACTTGAAAATTGCATGAGACCCAGACCCAGCCTGCCCCCTGTCCCCTGCCCCCCATTGGGCTAAATCCAGGCCCGGCCAGTCCCATCCTTGTCAAGCCTTGCTGGGCTGGGGGTATAGCCTCAGGTCCCCTGGCCCGGTGCCAGGACAGGGGGTGTGGCCTGAGGTCCCCTAGACTGGGGCGGAGGGCATGCCTTGAGGTGCTCCATCAAGCCCCGTCAGGTTAGGGACACAGCCTGAGATTCCCTGTCAGGCCCCACTGGGTGGGGGGCATGGCCTGAGGTCCCCCATCAAGCCCTGCCAGGTGGCGGGGAGGGGGGTCTGCCTCAGGTCCCCCAGCCCAGCACCAGGAGGGGGGCGTGCAGCCTCAGGTCCCCCGTCAAGCCCCACTGGGTGGGGGCCATGGCCTGTGGTCCCCAGCCTGACGCTGGGGAGAGGAGCAGCCTGAGGTCCCCTAGCCCAGCACCAGGACAGGAAGCACACCTTGAGGTCCCCTGTCATGCCCTCCTGGGTGGGGGGCGAGGCCAGATGTCTCCTGTCAAACCCTGCTAGGTGGGGGACACTGCCTGAGTTCCCCTGTCAAATCCCATGGGGATGGGGGAGGGCATAGCCTCAGGTCCCTGCTGATTGCTTATTAAGGCTCCTTATGGGAACTTGGCCTCAGCTGTGGGTGCAGCCAGCTTTGTGATGGAGTGATTGTCAATTAGCATATTCCCTCTTTATTAAATAGGATAGTGGTCAGCAAACCACGGCTCAAGAGCCACATGTGGCTCACAAGCCACGGTTTGCCGCTCTGTTGACTAATGAGTTTGCCAAGCACTGAAATAGGATATTTCATTGTATAGATATACAATATTTTGTTTATATATTAGTTGATGGATATCTGGGTTATTCCCACTTTTTGGCTATTATGAGTAATGCAGTAAACATTTGTTTACACAAGCTTTTCAGAAAATCTTGGGCAGTTTGTCCTTTGTGTAACATTAGCATTATTTTTAAATGTTTGGAAGGATTCACCAGTAAAGCTGTCTAATCCAGAGTGATCTTTATTTTTATATTTTTACTTTTTTATTGAATTTATTAAGGCGACTTTGGGTAATAGAACTGCATAGGTTTCAGTGTTCAATTCTATACCACATCATCTGTATATTGTATTGTATGTTCAACCGGGAGCTTGATTGCTCACTATGGTGTGCGCTGACCACCGGGGGGTGGCACAGAATGAAGAAGGCCCCGGCCGGCAGCCGGAAGGAGGGCACTGGCCAGCAGCTGGAAGGCCCTGATCAGCCCTTATCGCTGGCCAGACCTTGTGTGAGTTTTGTTCACCGGGCCTCTAGTTAATAAGAGCAAATCATTGATTGGCTGCCTCCTGCACAGCCCTCGTGGGGAATCTAGCCCACAACCCAGGCATGTACTGTGACCGGGAGTCAAACGGTGACCTCCTGGCTCATAGATCGACACTCAACCACTGAGCCATTTAGGATAACTCTTTATGTTATCCTAAATGGCCAGGCCATGATACACTCTTAAACATCCTAAATGCCAACTTTTAGTATGTTATAAGGAAACATAATCCCAAGAACTTTGCTACCAAATGTGAAAGGATTTTTATTTCTACCAAAAGCACTGATCTAAAGACTACTTAAAAATTCTTATAATTGTTTTTTAGAGTTTATCTTTAATCACTTTTTTTTCTGCTTTCAATAGTAGTGATTTTTTTATTATTGAGTCCTAATAACATTGTAGTTACTTTCCCTTTAATTTGCTTCTTTCAATTCAGTGTTTAAATCAGGTTTTATGATTGGTTAAATGCTAGTAAAGATTACGCACTGGTGAATACGTTTTATCTGAGGGCATCAAAGTATACATTGGATTTTAAATTTTCTTCTCTGAAGATACCTTTTTGTATAAAGATATTTGTGTTCCTTCATAAAATAGGGTAACACTGACTCTTTTTTCTTTTTAGAAAATGGTGTAAATGGAACATTAACTTCAAATGGAGCAGACTCTCCTCGTAATAGAAAAGAGAAATCTTCATAATGAATTACAATCCGGTTGATTAATGTCCCCAAAGAAACCTGCTTTGTACTATATCTTTCAGCTCTAGAGATTTCTTTTTTCCCCCCTGTTCTTGAAAATGCAGTTTGTGCTCTTTGATTCTCGCTATTGTACCGTTTCATGTATTTTTAAAGGGCAATTGAGGGGAGGATAATTACTATGAGTGAGAAAAATATTTTAGCTTAGACTAAGCTACTTGCCTTTAAAATAGTTTAGGGACCACCACCATATTTTACTTTATTTTTTATCTTTGAGCATTTTCTAATGATTTGGAGAGATAACTATTTGCAAAAATCCTACATATCAATGATACAGTTTCTTGGTCTCACTGATTTTTTATATTAGCAAGATGGCCTCTTCCAGCCAGGTCATATTTTTTAAGTTATCTTTCAGAGTAAAATGGAAATAATATAAAGTTGGATGTCAAACTTTAATATGTTTTCAGTGTTCTCTAATTTGTAGGAATTTTTGTAGCCTTTACACCAGGGAAAAAAGATTTGTAAATTTGCCAAAATAATAGTGTGCTTTATTTTTTAGATAGTGGTTGTTAATGTTACATCTTTTTTTTAATAAAAAAATATACTATTGGTTACAGTATGGAGATTTTTGCCATATTTGTTGAATCAAAATATCTTTTATTAGCATAAAAGTATTTGTGAAGTAAAATCTTTCTTGTGCATTTTCAACACTTGTAAATGGAAATCAGAAAATTAAATATTTACTACAAAGAAGAAAATCTGACATAGCCCTTTTTGATATGTTTATTAATAATGATTCTTAATGGGGCTTGTGATAAGTTCAATATGCACAGCATCTTAGAAGAACATTGTTTAACCTTCAGACCCTTTCTAAAAATAATGCCTATTTGATTTATATCTATAAAAAGAGTGTCAGGTAATTCTATTTGGAAAACACTTAATACGCTGACCTTAAAAAAAAATTGAAAATTCAGGTGGCTAAATAGTCTTAAAAGGAAACAATGCTTTATGTTACAACTATAGCTTTGGTCCCATCTTTAATTGAGAAGCATTTATCTGTATAAAACATATTTTTGGATAAAAAAAAAAGATATATATTTGTATCTCTACAGAAAGTCTCTAAAAAACTTGAGTAAAATATTTGGTTCTCTTTTCTATAATTATCCTTTAAAATCCTTAGAGTATTTGCATTTTTGTTGTCTTTACGTACTTGTGTTCTGTGTTCATACCTTGTTCCCCACTTCTCACTTCTGTCACCAGCTCATCTCTGTGCTGTGTAGAGTGTAGGAGGTGCAGGCTGTTGGGTCTGCAGGTAAGAAGTTGCCATGCTGTTAGGAAGTCGTGCTTTCTGTCTCCAGCTGTTTACCTACTTCCTGGGGAAAGTAGTAGCTCTCTGTAGCATCATGGAGTTTGGAACCAAATTTTTGCCATTAAAAACTGGCGTTCTATTGAACCATCATTGAGAAATCAATCAAAATAAAAATTTTTACTTTTACAACCTATATCCTGGATGTTTTCTTCACTGTTAGCAAGTTTTCATGCTATTTTAGAATATAAACTTTTAAAAATGTACCACATTTACAGAATGCACTCTTGATGAACATTTAGAAGACCCTTTCCCAAAAATTTTTTTTCTATTGTACAAAGCATGATTAGAGGCTACTATGGGGGGAAATGCTTCATAACCAAACAAATTAAGGGACTGAGTACTGGGTTAAATAAACTTAAGATGCTTCTTTCTACAGGACTGTTCAGTCCTTTATATGCAGGTGTGTTTTCTGATGCACCAAGAATGTTGACAATAGATATAAAATGCAGTTTTCCAACTCATTTAATTGTGGAAACTTCTTTCCATGGAAGTACTTATAGCACTTGTGTTCTACAGCATATGCTGTGGGTTTAGGGGAAAAAGAAAAAAAAGCCCTTGATTTGTCGTTAAAACTTTACAAGACACTAAAATACACAAGTGTAACTGTAAATCATACTTCTTCACCCTGTGAAGTGCTCTGACTGAGCAAAGTCTGTCTTTCCTGGTCTCCAGATCCAGCAGAGGCTGCCACTGTGGCCTGGCCTCAGGTCAAACAGTAAAACCTGGTGGGAAGCATTAGGCTTGCACCCTGAACCCGGACAGCTGTCCTAGGCTCATTGAGTGACCTTCTTGCCTGCATTTTAGAATATAGTTATTGAGTGGAACAAACAAATTAACTGCATTCACTAAAATTAGGTAATCCACAGTCCATAAATTCAGAACTAATCCTGGAGCAAAGCTTGTGTAGATGAGGAAAGGGGAGAGATATTTTGCGAAGATGTTGTTAGCAATAGTCATCTCTACCCTCTATCTCCAATGTGTTGCCAAGTGTTCTCACAGAAAACTAGGACCTCCCCTTGGATGGGTAGCTCAGTTGCTTAGAGAATTGTCTTGATATGCCAAGGTTGTGTGTGTGATCCCTAGTGCTGCTCTGTGCTCACCAGCCATGAGTCAGGCTTCTGGCTGAATGGTGCTCCCGCTATGGGAGCACATTGACCACCAGGGGGCAGCTCCTGTATTGAGCGTCTGCCCCTTGGTGGTCAGTGAGCATCATAACAACTGGTCATTCCACTGTTTGGTTGATTTGCATATTAGCCTTTTGTAATATAGGATATTTATCAAGAAATTTGAACCGATCTCATAAAATGTTCTAGAAATTACAACCCTGCAAGTGGACTGGAAGGCCTGGATGTGACAGTGTGTGTGGAACATACCCAGGTGTGGAGAATGCATGAAACACGCTGAAATCTGAAGGCTAAGATTGTTACTCATTTCTACACTTGCTGACTGACTGCTGGATGAACCCCGTTTTTCCTCTATCAAATGTGAAAACCTTCAATAATGTTCCTTATGAGAACAGAGATTAACTTTTCAAAAGTGCAGTTTTACCAAACGAGGTTATTAGTGATCTCTCCTGACCAATTAGAGTAGTCCTTTTCTGTTTCTTGCTGATTTCATTCACAATAAACAAAACTGTAAGACACGAATTATTTGTAACTTAGATCAGAAGGACATTTCTAGACTGTATATACTAAGTATATGAAAAATGAAAACTCAAGTGTGGTTGTTAAAATGTGAATTCAGTGTTGTAGATCAAGGCCTAGAGAACTACTGGGAATATGTTAGAAGTTCGGCCATTTACCTAAATCCTAATACACATAGGACGCTTTGAAAAATTCAAAAGAAAATATGCAAGGCTTGGTTCAACTTTTTTTTTTTTTAATATATTTTATTGATTTTTTATAGAGAGGAAAGGAGAGAGAGAGAGAGCTAGAAATGTCAATGAGAGAGAAACATTGACCAGCTGCCACACCCCCTACCAGGGATGTGCCCGCAACCAACGTACATGCCCTTGACCGGAATCGAACCTGGGACCATTCAGTCCGCAGACCGACGCTCTACCGCTGAGCCAAATCGGTTTCAACTTTATCTTCAAAGAGAACGTCCATTACTGCACTATTATTCTCACTGAATAGAAAGCCCCAGTTCAACCCTAGAAATCATTTCTTGGTGAATATTAGGGGATGGTGGGTCAACTCTGTCTCCAAGCAGAAACAGTGGTTCAGAGCAATAAGATCAGGTGGAAACCATTTAGCAAAAAAACAAATCTGTTTCTGAAGAGAAGAACTACTCCGCAGAAATTTCCACCGAAATAAAACATCTCTAAATGCTGATCATTATACAGAAAGCTCAGGCTCATTCCGTGCACTCTATTATACAGCATCTTAATTGTGCGCAGCCTGTGGTTTTAGGGTCTGTTGTTGTTGTTGCTGTTGTTCCTAATGATCACTAAAACAGAATGAAGAATGGAAAAAGCAAAGCCCTTTTGCGGAATGTAGCTTCAGGTTTAAGTAATCACTGCTCTCTCTCTCTCTATCCTGCTTGGCTGTCTTTGATGAGCGCCAACATTCTCAATTGCAGTCCAGCATCTCCTGTTAGGCAGGCAGTGCCAATCACCCCCCAGTATGCCTCCGGGTGGGTAAGTGCTGGTGAGGGGCCACCCTCATCTTCCACGCATGCTCCTTCCACGCCAGCGCTCTCGTCTCCAGAAGTAAGGGCAGCTGTACTCGCTGTGCTCATTAGCCCAGCCATCCCTGACATGGCTTCCTTTTCTTTTTCTTTTTTTAACCTAATGTCACAAGTCTACGAAAGGAAATATTTCAGCTGTTTCTTTATGCAGGGCCTGAACTTCCATCTAAACTATTGATAGCACTCCCACAAGCCCTCGCCGAGTCGCTCCGTTGGTTAGAGCTTCCTTCTGTTCGCCAACATTGGGGGTTCGAGCCCCCGTCAGTGCACACACAAGAGCCAACCAGTGAACGCATGAGTAAGTGGAGCAATATAGCGACATGAAGACAGGTAGCATACAAGCATTGTAAGTGCCATCAGGAGATCAAGGGCAAAGGGAGAGGAGGCAAGTCCTCCGTGAGAAATTGCCCTGCGAGCTGAGAAGCTCAGGATGAGGAGCGCTGAGACTGAAAGCTGAGGGAGGGTTGACAAAGGTGACATGGGGTGTGGATAGGGGGTGGCAAGCAGTGCAGGGTCTCCAGGACATTTGTGCCAGGCCCAAGATTTCAGATCCACCTCCTTTCTTTGGCACCAGAATACCTCGTTTCATCCTCACCCGGCGTTTCCATGGAGAAGTGTGGCCTGCAGGAGTCTACTGGGCCAGGTGTACTGAAGGAGTCCATCCAACACCCCCCTCCCCCCGTCTCTTGTTTTCCAAAGCAAGTGTTTCTGCTGTGAAGATGCTGGTGAAAGTCAAATTTCCTGGGACACGCTCAGCAATGTTTGTAAATCGGATGGGTGACGGGCTTGCTTAGTGTCTAGCTCATGTGACTAGTATTTTACTATGTCACCCCCGTTCCCCGCACTTAGTGGGCGCTGCTGGAGGAGACCTGAAGGTGAGTGAGCGGTGGGACAACCCCTGAGGAGTTCTGTGTGAGTGGGCCCAACGCCTCTCAGCTCAGAGGCAGGGAGACAGCAATAGGGTTTTAGGGGGAAACATGGCTGATTTTAACTCTTCAAGCTCTGATTTAGGTCAGAGCGAGAAGCTACATGCTAGGAACTCTTTTCTTTATAAAGAAAATAATTTCTCATCATTAAGCAGCAGAACATCTATCTTCATAAACGCTGAGGGGTGCCAGATGTTGGTAAGCTCATGCTTCATTTCAGGCAAAGCAGGCCGAACGTGTTTCTGTTGCGCCTGTTTTATGAATCCTCAGTTATGCTCCATTCTATCACATGTGCATTTTCATGTTAAACGGCAATTACTTAAACTCTCCCCCTAGCCTTCCAAATTAATTTTCCAAAGCCGAAGCACAGTCTTCCCCTGAAGCGAGGCATTCATGGAGGATTTCTTTCCGCCATCCTGTCTGGGACAAAAGATAGCTTCCCGTGGCTTCGCTCTGCAGTCGCCCTGCCCTTTCTCACCGCCTGAGGAGAAAGGGCCATGCCAGCAGGTGCAGTGGACAGGCGTCTGTGCTGCTGCTGCAGAGTTAGATTAAAATGGCCAGGCACTGGCCATTTTGACAATGTCTTGTCATTTGTGTATGGGTTGGGGCTGGAAATTCAATGTACTCAACGTTTCCTGTCACTGCATACAAGTTTTGCCACTGGAAACGTGGGCCTTTTCTGTGCAGTGACTTTTTAACTCTAGTTTTCATAAGCAGAGATCAGAACTGTTGCTTTCCCACGATGTGCATGGTGACTGGAGTTTGCTGTTTTATAGTATTTGAATTCAAGAGCTATTTGGTAAACAGACGATGTTTTCTCCTTTGAAAACACAATGAAAAAACAGTAGCACAACCTCATACACACACACACACACACACACACACACACACACACACAAAGCTACATGAAGCCTGGCCAGTGTGGCTCAGTGGTTGAGCATCGACCTGTGAACTAGGAGGTCATAGCTCAATTCCCAGCCAGGGCACATGCCCGGGTTGTGGGCTTGATCTGCAGTGGAGGGTGTGCAGGAAGCAGCCAGTCAGTGATTCTCATCACATATGTTTCTACCTCTCTCTTCCTCTTCCCTTCCTCTCTGGGGGAAAAAAAATAAAAAGCTACATGGAACCTATGGAAGGGGTCTTCTCTCTGGCTGTCTAACAAGTAGCTGAAAGACTCCTCCTCGGAAAGAATCCACAGCCCCGTCGTCTTTGAAGTCAGTGCTACTCAAACTGCGACCCAGGGCCCGGCGCCTGTCCCGTTCTGCAAACTGTTTGTAAGCCAGGCTGCCACGAGAGGAGTGCAGACACAGAGGAAGCATGCAGAACGTTTATGGCAATTGGACGTAGCTTTCTGTCTGTTGACTCAAAACTAAAAGTTGAGCTTGTGTTTTGTTTGTCATTGGACAGTTTCTTCTAGTAGTTTCTCTCGTCGTTATTTTTACCAATATTGGTACATGATGGATTTAAGACAAAAAAAAATCGGGCCTTCCCCACACGTGTCCTGAGACACATGGTTGGG